TTGTTAATTAGCAACAGATTTTTTAGGAGGAATTTAGAATTAAGCCATTCCCATCTGTACTTGAGAGGAATTTGATCACTTTCACCTAACAATGCATAAATAGGGGTAGATCCCATACATCCTGTTATGATACGAATACTCTTATATTGTAATTTATCTAACCTGTTGATTAGCGCCTTGGGACAATCTGATAATATTTGACATCCATAATCTAAATGACTCTGTATCAAACCATTATGAACTATCTGGAGAGTTTTAGTATCACTACCCCAATATGTTCCACATAGAGCTCTCATTACATTCAAGCTACGACTTACTTTTAATTCTATTAAATCCACATATGATTTCCACTTTAGGTTTTTTTGAATAACTACCCCTAAATATTTCACTGTATCGACCCATTTAATTGCATGACCTCTAATTTTAATGTTTGGAGGATTAATTTTACGATTTCCTATTTGAAATATAATTGCTGAGGACTTATTGTAAGATAGACTAAAGTTGTGTTCTAATAACCAGAGATCCATCCTTTCCATTAATAAGCTCAAAGAATTAATTAATTTAAGTAGATCTGCCCCACTAACCAAAATAACCAAATCATCTGCATACTGTATCAGATTACAACCGTTGGGAATAATCTCGTACAAAGATAGGGAATACAGATTAAAATAATATTGGACTTAGAGGGAGCCTTGAGGTAAGCCCTGATTAGTTTTTCTTAGACCATGAATTTGACCAGTTTGGTCCTTTACATAAATATCATCATTTAATATCATTTAATATAGAATAAATGACATTTGCTAGTTGAATAGGAATGAATTAGTTTAGAGTATAAAAGAGATATGTTGACACTATCATAAGCTGCTGAAATATCTAGGAAAAGTCCTACGGTAAATTGATTTAATGAAAATCCTTGTAGTATTTTAGAATTTAGTAATGAAATGCATTCCATGCAACCTCTACCCCTTCTAAAACCAAGTTGCAATGGATTTAAAATATGATTGTGTTCTAAGAACCACTCAATTCTGCTTTTAATTAATGTTTCCAGCATTTTACCAACACACGATGATAGAGCTATTGGCCTATAATTAAGTGGGTCAGTTTTATCCTTTCCATGCTTAACAATGGGTAATATGACCATTTGTTTTCACGAGAGAGGAACCTGTCCCTTCCGGATACATTCATTAAAGAATTGAATTAAGAGTAATGATCCAGAGTGCGGTAAATTTTTTAACATAGAGTATGAAACCTGATCAGGACCCACAGCAGAATCAGTTTTAGAAAAAAGAGTATTGTGATATTCATCAAATGATATGGGTTTCTCAGAATACTGCAGCGGACTGAAAAGTAATTCAAAGTCGCCAGAAATAGGTGAGAGAAATGTTAAAATTTCCTGAGCTACCGTTTCTGGTGGCAATTGAGATAAAAGAGACAATTTACTACCAGAAACCTTGTTAATTTTATTCCAAAGATCTTTAAGGGGAGTATTTCTATTTAGTTTGCTACAAAAGGATCTAAAGCTTATTTTTCGCTTTAATTTTAGAAATTTTCTAGCTTTCGCTATGAATTTTTTAGCCTCTATATAGTTTTCAACACTAGGAGAATTTTTAAATGTATTAATAGCTGAAACTCTCTTTTGTATTATATGAGCACATGAATCATCCCACCATGGAATGTGATATTTGTTGTTATGAGAGGAGGTCCAAGGAATTGATGTGTCTGCCACTGATGATATGTATTCGATAAAATTTTCATAGTCCTCAATTGGAAACGATGAGAAAATACACTCTAGTTTTTTATGGAAACAAACCCAATCAGCCTTTTTAAAATTTCTTCTTTTAGAAACCTGATTGGAGTCCTGTGTTGGGATACCGACATAGCATAGAATGGGAAAATGATCACTAGATCCTGTATCTGGAATGGTGGTCCATCCACTAATTTTAGGTGCCACATCTATCGAAGCCAATGATAAGTCAACTACTAATTTGCTGCTACCAGGACAAACCAATCTTGTTGGAGAACCATTATTACGAAAAATTAACTTAAGATCTTCTGCAGTTTGCAAAATATTTCTGCCATTAACACTATCTCTTGAGCTTCCCCATGCTCTATGATTACAAGTTAAATCACCCATGATCAGTAGAGGTTTGTTAATCGAGTTGACCGAAGAAGACCAGCATGTTTTGGAAATGAGATTGTCCAAAGGACAATATATATTTAATATATTTAAATTATACTTGGGTAAAAAGGTGAGTTGAAATTGAACATCTGAATTAAAACCAGAATTGTTAATATGAATATCTATATTGTATTTGATAAGGGTAATTAAGCCCCCATATCCATCACCTCGATCCTTTCTGATAATGTGATACCCTCTGCATCTAATTGTATGTTGGTTAGAGAGCCAAGACTCACTAATGAGGACAATATGAGGGTTATAGTCTTTAATAAGGACTTTTAAGTTATCAACATTGGTATTATAAGATCTTATATTCCATTGTATAATAGTTAGTGGGGCGTGATGATTGAAAATATAAGTTGTTAAAAACATGTATGTACCAGGTCAAGACGAGAGGGGAATTAGTATTCTGAGTCCTCAGACCCAGATACCTACATCCCTTCTCGCTCCTGACTAGTACTTATAGCATTATGTGATACACTTTTGTTTTTATGATTACCAATCTTTACATTTAATCCACCATGATCCTTAGGAGAAGTATAATTTTTAATAATCAATTCACCAATAAATGTCATAACCAAATCCTTGTGATTTTGATTGAGCATTAATATAGCCTGATTTAAATCTCTTTGGGTCTGAGAATTATTTATAAAGTGACTAGGAGATTCTTTGGGGGATCTCCCATTAGGATTGTTCAATACTTTAGAATGAGAACTTTGATCAAAGCCTACATTTAATGTTCTTTTCCTTTTTGATGGAGTGGATTTTGTAATCTGACTGTAGGAAGCAGAATTTAAAGACAGGGATGTAGTAACTGATCTCCTCTCTTGAATTGAAATGCTATTTGCAGAGGATGGATTAGTTACAAGATTAGGAAAATCCTTAATGTTTAACTTTGCGCTAGATGTTTCCCTTGGAATGTTTTGGTTAGCTTCATAATAAGATAAGTTGGCAAATGATATAAGTTCTTTAATACTCTTTTGTCTTTTACTTTCTTTACATTCAGGATGTCTAGAATCATGATCTGCTGTTTTACAGAACATACAAAATCTACTGCACCGTACAAACGAGGGAGAATCATGATTTGTACCACATGTAACACATCTGTTTTTTTCCATTGCATTGAGAAAGAGAATGCCCACATAAAAGACAATTATGACATTGGAGAACTGGACTAACAAAGGGTATCACCTTCATAGGCAGACCATAAATTTCAATTTATTTAGGGATATTCCTTCCAGAAAAAGTTAAACAAATAGTACCTGTAGGGATGAAAGTGGTTTCTAAATTATTTTGCATAACCCTTCTATTCATTCTTTTAACAGAGATAACTTTACAAAAGGGTAGATTAGTAGAAGTTGACATTTTAATTTCCTCTTCTGACAAAGATTTAAAAACTCCCCTAACAATACCTTTACAAGAGATAAGATGAGTGGGAATGAAAACCTCATAACCTAATTCTTCCCAGTCCTTCCTAAGAATAAACGAATTGGCAGATTGTCTGTCCTTGAATACTACCCCAACTCTATTTTTCCCTTTCTATCAAACTTAGCAATATCTTTCAGTTTTAAATTAAAGATAGTCTTAGCAATACTTAGGACATGATAGTTACCCACATTACTATTTTTACCCTGAACAAAGACCTCAAAGGGCCCCAAATCTGATTCAGAATATAAACTTTTTTCCTTAATGTTTACATTCTCTATTGCATTATTCTTAGGCAGATTTTGACTTATATTAGGGTCGGGATCTGGTGGCCGGTCGGGAGGAATTTCTTCCTCCATAATGGCGAACGTTAACAAAGTTTAAATCTACCAAAACGTTTAAATGTAGTTTGACTATATAGAAGATTAAGAAATATGTAAAGGAATAGGATCACAAAGAAAATGTTAGTAGGGCTCTTACTTGTATTTTTCCACCTTCCAGCATCAAACTTCAAAAAAAAAACAACCTGGAATAACAATTATCCAAGCTTTAATTTCTAATCCAAAATAAACGCAAATTCGTAAAATATACTGTACTTAAATTACAAAAATGCGCAGAAAACTTTGAAATGCGTATTCAAACTTTTAACCTTGAAACTAAAAGTGCACAAAAATTGTGACAGCATTTTAAAACTCTCGTGAAAATTGAATGCTATTTTTGACCATAGTCACAGAATAATAAACAATCAGAATGCCCACTCTCAGATGCCGCCTTTGAAGTTTTTTAGCACGCGCGCCATGTTTTAGAAGGAAACACATAACACAGACATATGATTTGTGAGGTTATGTAATTGTTTATATTTATGTTTAATTTTATTATATTTATGGTATTATATTTTAACAATGTTAATATAATTGTATAGTATGTCTATGATTTCCGTAAGTCAATTAAACCGGGTTAATTTTTCTATGCACACCACATAAACAACACTGGTTCCCTCTAAAACATGGCGGAACGTCTGCGCGAAGGAGATGCGCGTAGGTACTTAATTTTACATGGAGAGTGGGCATTCTGGTTGTTTATTATTCTGTGCCATAGTCAACAAACAGTTTTGTAATTTTTTTGTTTTAGTTTGTTGAAATTTGTAAATTTAACTTTTACTATCGCTCAATTTTAATTAAAATCCTATTTGATTTAAAAATGATATTTGTTTCGGAAGTCGAAATTGAAACGTCAAACGTATAGCTTTCTTACATATCAACAGTAAAAACTAGTAGGTATTGATGTTTTAATACAAATTTCGTGACTTGATTGAATTAACCTGATATACGTTTCCTATAAAAACAACTTAATTAACCTAGTAATATGTATTAAATAAAATCAATATTCTACTTACGTATCACCCAAATTATATTTAGGAATTGACCAAATATACAACTTTCAGGAGCAATGGTTCCAGTGTCACTAATATAAGGAACATATGCCGATATGTGTTCATAGTGGAAAGCTAGAGATGTCCTGAAAATAGTTTAATTAGTTAGTGTTTAACATTCAGGATATTACTTAAAACTTATAATTAAATTTAATGATTTTTTTATACTGGGTTTATAATAAATTGTCTAAAACCGCTTGTAGTGTCAAATAGCAGAATTATCGTTAAATTTGTTCCACATGTTAACAATGCCGGTAAGCCTTCAGATTACCGTTCCGCTTTCGGTTGGTTACAATCCCTGACGGTTCACATTAACGCGTTTACTCATTCGTTTCTCTTTTCACGTTATCCGTAGAGCCACGTTCAATTTTGAATCGCATTTAAATCATATTAAAATTCACGTTTGGCCTGAAATACAAGATGGTATGTTTCTTTATTCCAGGGATTAAACAATTATTACCCGTTCCAAAATCAAAGTTGGTTTTATCCTTAGTCCTACCCTTCTTTTTCCTATTGGTGTTCAATTTATGATTTGTTTAGTTCTTGTCTCCATTTTGTTAGTTAGTTGGCAGCTCTGTTCTGTCATGTCACTTCAATTCTGTAGAAGTGGCATATTTTTATCGTTTATAAAAAAGTTTGGATTGAAAATTCATTTATATTACTAATTATTTTCTTGGGGTAATTTATATTTAATACTTAACCAATATCCAATTTATTTTCATAACTTTTGACTTCTTTTTTATACATACAATTTTTATACATACATAAACCCATTCGCACATGTTTCTTTTAACCTTATTCATCTCATTTTGCAGGTAGTATCTTTAATATAATTTAAATAAGTTGTTTAATTATTATATTTATTTTTATATTATATATATATATATATATATATATATATATATATATATATATATATATATATATATATATATATATTATATTTATTTTATCCTTGCCAATGTGTTATTTGTAATTTAATACTTTCAATCTTCACACGGCAAGAAAATATTTTAAAACATATGCAGCCGCTAAGATTTATTATTTTAGTTTTTTTGGCCTAAAATAAATTGTTCCTGCTCTTCCTTGTTAGGTGAAACTTTGTAAAAACTCGATGGTGTACTATACAGAGGGATGACAGCTACAGCAGAGACGCAGGATTCAATGATTGCTTAGAACTACAACGAGCTTGATCCCGATATCTCCACCAACCTAAAAGCTACTCATTCAGCTACAATCCATTCAGTCAATATCAGAAGCCGTCAGTAAGATGCTCTGTCAACCAAATGAAGCCATACGTATCAATTTCAGATTTCTGTACAGCTTTAAGCAGGATTTGCTTGTTTTTTTCTATTTAATTTTAAAATGTCAATTATTTTTTTATAAAATAAATATGATTACTTAATATCTCGGTTTATTTGTTCCAACTAAATTCATTTGTCCGATTTACATTTCATTATAGGGACCTTATAAGACATCTGAGGGACTGGGCTAGACGAGGCCCAACAATTGGCTACCAAATAAAGTTGTCAGTTTTATTGTTCTACATTGGTTCCCAACTTTCGAAGGTAGTTAGATTGTTCCCCATATGCACCCACCGTTGCTACAACGGTAACACATTAGTGCCCAACGTCTAAAACCTTATGGTTACAAATATATATATATATATATTATATATATATATATATATATATATATATATATATATATATATATGTATATATATATATATATATATATATATATATATATATATATATATATATATATATATGTATATATATATATATATTATAAATATATATATATATATATATATATATATATATATATATATATATATATGTAAAAATTTCGTGCTTGTCCAAACTCATATTCAAAAAACCACTGAACCGAATGCAATAAAACTTTGTGAAAGTGTATTGATTGGTCCAATATGGATATTTTTTATCTCGATCAATTACCTTTTTCTTGTTAATTGTAAATTGAAAATGTTTTATACGACTTCACCTCTACAGTTTTAGTTAATTTTATCTATGCAGTTATAAAATATTATCAATTTATGTTTACCAAACGTCACTTGTCTTCTTCATATTCAAACGTCATATTCTTATACTTTTTTTCATAATAAATCGAGAACGAATAAATTGATTTGACCAATTTTGGTTTTGAAGTATTTATTTAGAGTCCTAGGAGGTCCTAATAAGTGAGAAAATATGATGAAACGCTAAGCAAAATAGTAGAAGCAACGGTTTTATTTCCCCGTACAAACAGTGACATTATACCTACTCTTATACAAAATATTTTAGGTATACTATCTATTGTTACAGTGGTATTTCATTTAAATATAAGGTGACGTTTTTTTGCTCAAACTCGAGAAAATATGATGAAATTGTAAGGAAAATAGTAAAATCAGTTTTATTTTCCATACAAACAGTTATATATACTTTATATCATATACCATCAGGTATCATTTTGTATTAGTTGTACATAAGTGTTTTATAAAATATAATTTTTACGGAGAGTAAAATATTTTTATTTTTGATATTGAAAATTAGTATATATGAAATATGCTTTGTTTTCGCATTAATTCAACACATTTTAATAATTATAAATTTAATGAAACAATTCTAAACAAACTTAAATTTTAAAATGTAATGAGAATGTTAAAAATGTTAAAATCTAATTGAGGATACTATTTTTTTTTTAATTGGCTTTGGTTTGAAACCTTTAGCCACGTAATTACAATTGAATATTAGTATTCATTCATACAGGATTGTACAAGGAGGACACTTTTAAAGCTCAGAGATTCATCAGAGCGGCTTAATTATAACAAACAAAATATAAACCACGGTTAGGTAGGTGGGCAACATATGGTAAACATACAAAGGAAATGTTTAAGCATACGATCAATTTTACACTCATGCCTTTAATTTAATTGAGTATACTAAATGCATAAAAATTTTTCATGTATTTTTATCACATGTATAAAGAAAGTATGCTTTATTATCTCTAAAAAAGTATATTTTATAAAATAATTTATAATAATTTACAGTTGTTGAGTTGCACTTAGGTAATTTACAGTTGTTCTAAGCAATGCATTTCACTTAATACTTCCTCAAAGTAAAGAATAAACTTTAATAGTATTCATAGTAACATCTCAAATTCAAAGTAATGATTCTAAATGAATTTCATTATTTACTAAAAATCGAGTAACACTGTTTTGTGATTTTATAATGTAAATTATTATACAATTTTAGAAACGTAACCATTAAACCTTTGATTTATTGTTTCACGGAGTTTTTTTGCATGTGTAAGTAGTGAAAAATTGTTAGTTTACAGGCAGACAGACATTACCGGTTATTCATCTCTTTACAAATGGGGATAGATTACATATTGCATGTTTAACACAATTGGTTTTATGTCGAAACAGTTCAATTGAACATTAAAATAAGGGTAAAAGTGCAAAATGATCTATATTTTCCAAACATTTGCTAAAAACTGAAGACGGTAAAATAAAATGTATCAATGCATCATGTTTCTAGATAATTTCTGCAATTTTGTTAGAACCAAATATGAATTAATTGTCAGTGTCTTTCCGGCTATACTGAATAATCTGAATAATTACTTTAATCATAATTGGTTCAGTGAGCGCGCCATTTTGGCGGCGAAAAATGTTGATTTTAATGTAATAACTTTCAGATTCAACAGTTGTTACTAGGTGATATGGTATCCTTTAAATCAATTGACAGTATGGTTAATGAAGACGAAGCCATAGATTATCCAAAAGAATTTTTAAATTCTGTAGATATACCAAAGATGCCATCACGGATTTCATGATATTAAGTTAACTCTGTTAAATAAAGTGAACATAATATTAATAGTATAATAACTGCCACAGCAAAGCATAGCCGGGTCAGCTAGTATATATATTTAACCGAAATTTTATGCTATAGGTTATGAATATTGGTATTTAACAATGGAAATTCTATAGTGACCAGTCAATTAAAGTAATAAATTACATTGATCTTATTAGAATCCTAAAAAAAAGGCAAAAATCGTGCATCATTTATTTATTTAACACCTTTATAAAAACTGGCTTCTTTTATGACGAAATAAAACAATACATACAAAGCTGCACTCTTCACCATTAACACGCATTTTAACTTTTGTCGATAAGATACTCTGATCAAAGGATATCGAATGTTTACCGTCGAGTTGATACAAATTTTATTTAAAATTAATTTCGCACACGTAACTATCATTCAAAATCGCCAGTCGCTTCAAGCGTTGTTTCTGAGAAAACAGATCATTCTACAGAAAAATTGCTAATGAACATTTTTTATGTGAAATATTTTTTGGCGTATAGATTTTTTGGTAAATCGATTTTTTCTGTTCCTCCCTCCCCCAATTAGTGGGGGTTTTGGAGGAAAGTCGGGGTAAAAGCGTTAAACTTTTTTGCATCTTTTAGGGGTTTTAAAATTGAAATTCTCAGAAAAATTCAGGTTGTTCGGATAATAGTACCATTCGCGTCATAAAAAACGGGTACAACTCTTATAACCGAAAATAGTGTTTTTCAAGTTGTGTAAGTTGATCTTGTCACATATGTCATTCTAATTTCTAGGGCAACGTTGCCAGTTCAACGAAAATATTGTTTCAAATCAGCGAAAAGGAGGGCTGTGTGACAGACACATTATAAAATTACAATTTCCTTGTGCGAATACCCTACGTTTAAAGATTCTTTAAACATTTTGGGCATTAACTTAACCCTCTGTCTGGTTATTCAATTTATTAGGTACGGTTTTTTGTTGTTAATGATAATAATAATAATACCTATATAAAAACTTTAAACATTAAACATTTTTTTTTATTTAAATTTGGTGCAACTCCGTTATCTGTGATGGCAACAACGAATGGATTTACGAACAATTGTGTTAAGTCTGAACACAGGTTTACATTGCAAAAAAAAGTGTACCAGTTTTGTATGACGGGAACTGTATCTAGTTTAGTACTTTAGAGGTTCAGTGACATTTTCGTTTCTGACGACTGGAGTAAATTGCGATTGATTAATGTTAATATAGAAAAT